AAGAAGAGATTTGATTATAACACTCCCCTGTAATAAACTCTTCCCTTTAAGATCAAGTCCACACTCCCTTGTTTACCATTTAACGGCCCTTAGAAGCTGGCTTAATCTCTCTTTCCATGTGTATTTTACATCACTCCCCTTCACACATTCTGTAGTCTAACCAAACTGGCCTTCATACTATGATTTTGCACGGGCTTCCTCCTACATCTCAAATATACTTTCTCTCCCCTCCCTGACCCACCCTGACCTCTTAGAACATCTAATTTCCCTCAAAGCTCAGTTCCCACTTTAGCTTCCTGAAGCCTTTTCTTGAGCCCTCCAGCTGGAAGTGTCTCTTCTCCCTGAATCACCTCGTATTTACTTTGTATATACCAAAATGTCGTTCCCCTGAGAGACCACAACCTCCTTGAGCGCAGGGTCAATTCCATTTTTGTCTTTGTATTTTCAGCACCTAACACTGTGCTGACACCTGCCAAACCACACTTTCAAAATCTGTTGGTTTCCTGAGGAAAGACAGAAGGATTCCTCAGAACAACGTAGACATACGCAACTTATGCAGAAAATGTGAATTGCTGCAGGGGCTCAGCCCTACCAGAGTCCTAAAGGCTGAGGGGTTAGTGGGCCAGAGGGGTCAGGTGTCTGAGAGCCAGGAGTGGGATTCGAATCCCACCTTTGATACCAGCTGTATGACCAGCTGACCTCTCCAATGTAATCAAAATATAATATAAATGTAAAATCTATAAAAACCTATCTAACTGGTTGCAGTGAGGCTAAGAGAGATAATGTTTGTAAAGTGCTTACACAGAGTACCCCAGAGATCTTAGTGCAATCTTAAGTTTTAATATTTAAATGTATAAATAGAGGCAGCTAGGTGGCACAGTAGATCAAGCACTGGCCCTGGATTCAGGAGGACCTGAGTTCAAATCCAGCCTCAGATACTTCCTAGCTGTATGACTCTGGGCAAGCCACTTGACCCCAATTGCCTCACAAAAAAAGTATAAATAATATCATATTTTTTTTTATCAGTTTGCTGAGGGGAAAGATTAAATACAAAACTTTCTCAGCTGCCCTTTTTTTTTTCCTGAACCAAAGGAAAACCTCTGAGAGAAAGCAGTACAAAAATAAAGACCCAATTCTTGTAAAATAAACATGGCAGGCACCAGTGATTTTCTCAGAAAGGAGTGACGTTTATATAAAGCTTTAGAATTTATGAAATGTTTTTGATAAATTATCTCTTTTAAGTCTCACAACAATCCCATGAGGATTATGAAAAAAGTGAGGTTTAGGGAGTGATTTGCCCAGCGTTGCCCAGCGAGTATGTGTCTGAGGCAGGATTAGAATCTGTGTCTTCCTGATTCCAAGTTCAGTACTGTATTCACTGCATGGCTCACCAGGCAATCTGGAAGCAGAGGCTGAGGTGGTGATACTTGGCAAAGGGCTGGGTTGCCTTCCTGGGATTCTGAAGAATTAGATCTAGACCAGTTTAACCATTAATGGAGAGTGAGGTGGCACAGTGGATCTATTCCAGCACTGTAGTACTGGTCTTGGAGTCAGGAGGACTCATCTCCTGAGTTCAAATCTGGCCTCACACACTAGCTGTGTAACCACGGCTGAGCCACTTAACCTGTTTGCCTCAGTTTCCTCATCTGTAAAATAAGCTGGAGAAAGACATTCCAAACCACTCTAGTATCTCTGCCAAGAAAACCGCAAATGGGGCTATGAAGACAAAACTGAAATGACTGAACAACAAAACCATTTGTGGGAATGTTATGGTTTTAAAAGGATTACTTCAATGTCATTCCATGGTCAATGTCCTTGCTGGTTGCTGGGGGGATAGCAGAGTAGGAGTTGACAATTGGTGTTCTTTGCCTGAGATGAAAAATGGGGAGGTTTAGGGAATGTTTGGGGGATCTGTGGATTTTCCAGAATCCTACTGAAGCTACCACACTCATGATTTTTCTGGCCTTTTTGGAAAGGGAAATGCTTTCTTACCTTATATATACACTTTTTGGAGTTGAGACATCCATGTCTTATAGAATCCTGGAGTTAGAGGATACCTCAGGAATCATAGGAATTATTCACAGGAATCCCCTATAAGGGTAAACAAGCCAGCCTGGGCATGGATGCTTCCAGTGACCCGTGAAAGCTCACTTTCCGTGAAGGCAGTTTTGAGGAACACTCTAATTATTAGTAAGTGATATTTTATTGTAAATCAAAGTCTCCCTTTCTATAACTTCCACTCAAGAAAGCCAACCCTGAGTTTTGGGGCTTTGTAGAAGTCCAATCTGTTTTCCTAATAATTCCCAGCGTTTTCTAATCTGTTTTCTGGACAGCTAGACAGCACAGTGGATGTAGTACAGGGCCTGAGGTCAGGAAGACTCATCTTCCTGAGTTCAAATCTGGTCTCAGATACTTACTAGCTATGTGACCCTGGGTAAATCATTTAACCCTGCTTGCCTCAGTTCACTCATCTGGAAAATGGGCTGGAGAGGCAAATGGCAAACCACTCCAGTATTTTTGCCAAGAAAACCCAAAATAGGGTCACAAAGAGGAAGACACTACAAAAAAATGACTGAACAAGAACAAAACTGTTTTCCAGATTTTTTTTTTAAACTCCAAGTCTTGGGGCAGCTAGGCGGCACAGTGCATAGAGCTCCAGCCTTGGAGTCAGGAGGACCTGAGTTCAAATGTGGCCTCAGACTCTTGACACTTACTAGCTGTGTGACCCTGGCCAAGTCACTTAACCCCAATTGCCTCACCAAGAAGCAAAAAAAAAAAAATAGTTTAAATTCCAAGTCTTCTCTTCTCTAGATTAAAGATCCTTAGCTATTTCAGATGTTCCTTATCTGACACGGTTTCCAAAACCCTCTTACCATTCTGGCATCTTTCCTCTGGAAAGAATCTAGTTTGTTAGTGTCCTTTTAAAATGTGATTCCAGATTTCAGATGCAGTTTGCCTAGTACAGAATAGAGTGGAGCTGTATTACTTTCCTTGATCTTGGCAATGTCTGTCTATAAATGTGGCCTAAGACTACATCTTTCTCTCTTGTCTCCAGGATCATGGGGCTTTGTTTCCCCTCTGGGTTTAGTTAGGTCTTAGCTCAGCTTGGGGAAACTAAGGAATCTCCCAGAATCTTTAGAGTAATAGGTAGCCTCAGGCAGGGGCAGCTAAGTGGCACAATGGATAGAGCACCAGCCCTGGAGTCAGGAGGACCTGAGTTCAAATCCGGCCCCAGACACTTAACACTTAGCTGTGTGACTCTGGGCAGGTCACTTAACCCCAATTGCTTCACCAAAAAAAAAAGTAATAGGTAGCCTCATGCAGAACAGGCTTAGAGTGGAAAACACCAAATAAGTTGAACACTGAGCCAAATTTTCATCCTAAATCAAAGTTGGACCTTCAGAATTTCATGATTGGTGAGTCATAGGTTCAACTCTGGTATCAAAAGAAAAGCATTCTTTAGGGTGCCAGGGGATATTAGTTCCATCCAAGGAAAAGGGATAATAAAGATGCTGAGTTTCATCTCTTTATCCCTTTTCCTTCTTTCTTTATCCAAAATGAATGACAAAGTGAAGGATCCAACCAAGATCTCTGGCTTCTGGCCTGCCTCAGTGACTCTCAGCCAGCTTCCCAAGCACCAGCCTATCCAGGTGATCTTGCCTTTGTCCCTCAGGACTTTCCACATTTCATTTTTTACTAAACTTCCCTGATTGCTGAAACCCAGTGGGGGAACTGAGTTCCAGTTGCAAACCTAGGGTTTCTGGATCAGGCTCTTTGGTTTTAACCTTCCTAGGTCCTTGAGTCAGCTCAACATCCTGGGTTCAGAGGTGCTGCACCCAGACCCTAATTATCTGTCCACTCATTTTCCTGTCCACTGCCGCTGTTATTTCTGGATATTCTGATCTTAGCACTCACTTCTTTCTCTGTCTCTCTCTTTTTTTTTAAAGGCATCGGGGTTAAGTGACTTGCCCAGGGTCACACAGCTAGTACGTGTCTGAGGCCAGATTTGAACTCAGGTCCTCCTGAATCCAGGACCGGTGCTCTATCCACTGTGCCACCCAGCTGCCCCTTCTGTTTTCCTACACACTGTTTCCCCATGTGCTCCTAACCATAACAGTGTGCTTTCTGAGCTTAATTTATAAGAAAAAAGAATAATAATATGCCAAAGTAAGGTAATGAGAAGTGTAAATAAAAGAAATCTAAGGGATACTTAAGCTTTCTAACCAGGCCTCATTTACCAATTACCAATTACAAGCAATTACCAGGCCTCATCCAGCTCAGCCTGATTCTCCTTTGGTCAGAATCATTCTGCCATCTTTCAACCATAAAGGAGAGCAGCACATAATTGCTAGAACACACCTGCACTGAGGCCGATTCAGCTCCTTGAGTTCCCTGGATCTAGTTTATTGGTCTAGCCCAACGGTTCTTAAACTGTGGGTTGCAACCCCCACAATTTAAGAAGTGCTGAAGGGGTCACAAATGGAAAAAGTTTAAGAAGCCCTCGGGCCAATCCCTACCAAGGGGAAAAAATATACAGAACAGGTACAATGATTCTGTCCCCTCAAAGATATCAAAGTTCAACCTGTCAGGTACCTCACTGCATCACGTCCCACCCCCAACATCCCCATTCTTCAGATTGCCAAAGATCACTTCTCTCTTTACAATTGCTCCTATTAGATTTAAAGGCATCGTATGGGGACCTTAGAGCTTCAGTTTGCAGTAGGCTCCTGTAAAATGTAATAGAGTGGAGTTGACAGATGGTTCCTAGCCTGTCCTTATCATGACCTTATATGGATTCTCCCTTGACAAGAGTCATTTTGTCATCTTTCAACCCCAAAAGAGTCAGGTTTTTGTTTTGACCGTATTATGACCACATTTGTGTGATCTGGAGTAAGTCATTTAACCTTTGTCCCAGCTTCCTTGCTTATAAAATGGGGGTGTCAATACCTGCCTTATCACTCTCAGGTTACTGTTGTGAGAATCAAACAAGATACCACTAATTGTTGTTGCAAGGTATCATTTATTATCATTGTCATCATCATTATTCTCAAACCTCCTCTCTTCCACTGGGCTCCAGGAATTGTGCAGCACTTGCAAAACACTATGGGAACCCCACCCAAAGGCGTGGATATCACTGAGATATCACTGAGAAAAATCAGTTCAGGAAGCAGCTGACTACCAACTAGGAGGTTAAGTAGTCCTGGGCAGGGTGGAATATACATCAATGCAGAGGCTATGTGGGAGCCAAGGAAGGTGGTGTACACAGGTGTTTGAGAAGGGATTTATTCCAGGCATTCATAGAGACAAGTTCCTCAAGGACAGCTAAGTAGCACATGCTTTGGTTGAGAAGAACAAAAACAAAGCAGCTCTGAGCCTTCTGACATGACCACTGGGAACAAATTTGGGACCCTTGGAAATAGCTCATGAGACAGTGTTTCTCATCACGTCAATCCAAACTCTACATAAAAGCATTTCCTCCTACAATCTATCCTGAGATGCTTCAGAACTTTATTAATTTTTCTACTAAACACGTGGTCCAAATCAAATGAAGGCTGTCCATTGTGTTGAGAGCAGCACTCTTTATATAGTAGGGGCATAATGCAAGTCTGTTGAATGAAGTTGGATTGGATTAGACTGGATTGGGTGGCGTTAATTCACCAAGAGGGACAAGAATGATGAAACAATATCACACTTAACATTGGAGTTCCGTGGGCAAACACTGCCCCACACCAAAGGTCATACTGTGGCTGAGAGGTATGGGGACAACATGATTATGCCCTCCCCCGATGGAGTTGCTGGGAACACATTTCTATAACATAAGTATGGTAGGACACTGACGACATTCCCCTCAAGGGGGCTATATCCTCTAAGTGATAGCTCAGAAAAAGAAAAACCCGTTGAGACACTCCCCCATACAACACGAGCATTTGCTATCATAGAACCTTTGGATACCATTCAGATGAATGATACAGGCCAGGGAGTAGATGTGATAAGTCTGTGCTATAGACATCAAGAAGAAAGCAAAATGAGGGCACTTCAAGAAGAGCTTGTGTTTTCCATCTAGAAAGGTCTAGAGCTGGACAAAGCTATACTTCTTGCTGGGCCCTGGTAGTACCTGGGTGATGTCTAAACCCAGGAGGAAGGCAGCCCTGTGGAATTTTGTTCTAAGGAAAAAATCATGAGGAGACTATGAAGTAGACACACAGCATTTGGCCACCAGAGAGAACCCCTAAGGATATACCTTCCTGGCTCAATGTGAAGATGTAGTTGTGGAGGGGAGGGGAAGGAGGAACTCTAAAAGGAGGCCAAGATGTAGGGAAGGGAAGGAAGTGGGAGCTTCCTTTTCTCAACCAGAGCTCCCAAGGTTGGCTCTTCTACATCAGTCCTTCAATAACAGCAGGGCTTGGAGTAGCCTTGGAACTTCTTGACCTTTCGGAAGGCACGAGTCGCATATGGAGGTTGGGGGAAAGTGGCTGGTGGGGAGGAGAGCTGGGATGCATATGTTAAGTAGTCACTTAAACTCTTTCAAGGTCCAGCTCCTTTTAAGAGTGTCTCCCAGAGCAATTGTCTCTAAAGCGGGGTGTGGACCCCCCTGGGGGTGTGTGGCATGATCCCAAAGGAGCTGGTGGGGGGGAGGGCTTGCCTTTAAGGAGTCTTTGGCCAACCAATGGAAATGTGGGAAGATAGGTCAAATCCTGTCCTCCTTAGGATAGCCCATGGGGCTTGTCTCCAAAACAACCACACCTACCCTTCGCTCATCATAGTACAACAGCCCCTCAGAATGGTTATAATTTAACCCTCACCTGGGTACCCATGGTAGTAGCTGTACAGGTACCATTGGAAACTCCTCCCCTCCCCCTAGAATATCTGCTATTTTATAAAAAACAAAAGGGGGAGTTGTTGATTTTCTGTTTTAAACTTATAAGGATGCAGGATCAAAAATATTTGGAGACCACTGTCCTTGAGGATTCCAGCATAGAGAATGGGGGTTAAGAAATTAAAACTGAGGGGAAATTGCTCAAGCCCTAAAGGAAGAGTCACCAGGAACAGTTTAATGAGCTGGCCTTTTAAGCCTTCTTACTAAATGGTCTTTTCCAACCTGACAGGAATTGGAACAAAACAGCTCTCAACCCAGAAGATCCAGGATGGTACTGACGAGGGAGAAACTACCTCTAAACGAAAGGGCCTCAGTTGGGATTTTACCTCTTGTCTCTCTTACCCCCTTCAGCAACTTATCCATTTTTATGCTTTCTAGGGTTGCCTCTTTACTCGTTTTAAGCATCCCACGATGGTCCTGGGATTTCTCCTGTGCAGACTCTGCACTGATAACCCTGGGCTTTTCCCTCATCCTATACCCTTGACCCATCACCTCTGGTGGTCATCCCATTTTTCAATCATTTCTTCCCCATATTATGATTCTCTTCACCCCTCCCATCCTGTTACCTTACAGCCCTTCTGTAGTCTAGGACCCCAGTCAGGGCCAGCTGCACCACAGAGGAGTTAGGCCTTCCTGTCCCCACACAATAATATCACCTACATGTTCACATACAAATTGTCATCCCTCATTGTGGATAAACTAGGCGTAGGAGCACTAGAGTCAGGGATGTCTACAGGGATGGTAAATAAGAAAAGGGCAAAGTGCCACCCCCAACTCTGCCCAGTCTTTGAGTTTGCCAGTCACAGTCCATAGTCCTTACCATTTCCTCTACCAGGAGTAAGGCTAGGAGTACAGGTAGAACTGCTGGGGGCAGGGAGTCCATGGACGTGCCACTGCCTCCCTCCTTCCCCCAATGTGAGCTTTGGAAAAACACTTAACATGGTGGCAATGTTTGTTGATGATCCCAACAGAAACGTTAACAAGATGAAAACAACCCGGCTTGACACTCCCCCACCCTAACCCCATTCCAGCCCCAAAGTCTCATGCAAAAAGGAATGATGAGGTCCCTGGGGCTACCATCATGTGGCTTGCATTAGCTCCCACTGTTGGGCAGGTGAATCCACCTGGCACAGTCCGGTCACCACTTGTGGGGATTGGTTCTCCAAACAGAGGCCACTGACAAAGTGCTGGATAAAAGAACCTTTCATCTTCCATTTCTAGTAGGGGGAAGAAAGAGAAAAAAGCAGGTTTTTCTTTTTTAAAAAATAACCATAACTAGGCACTTAGATGGCACATCTTGTATACGTCTGCCACCACCCTCTCCTGTCCAGTTTCAGAATCACTTTGTGACCCACGTTCAAGATGTCCCAAAAGTCTGAGTGCTGTTTTAAGCTATAAAAGGCTTTAAAAATGCATGAAGACTCTTGAGGCAACATGTTGCTAGACACTTAAACAGAGCAGATTTCTGCTATGAGAGGCAGTGTGGTAGAAGACCAGTCCAGAGCCAAAAAAGACCTCCTACATTCAAATCCTGCCTCTGATACATACTTACCCTGTGATCACAGGCAAGTTACCTAACTTTTCTGTGTCTTCAGACAATTCTATGAGACTAGTTGGAGACCTACACCCAGGGAGAGAATTTCCATATTGGAGTTCCCTGCCTCAGTAAAAATCATAGGTCTGTACCACTCCTCCCCCTCCAAAAAAGTCTACTACTAAAAATGCAAAGGCTACTTACTGGTGCTGAGTAGCCCTAGATTAAGTTTCATTTTCTATAAATTGCATGAAATTTCAATCTATTTGAATCTTTCACTTTCCAAAATAAGAGACACTACCTCCCCTCTAGTCATGTGCTTTGTACCACGTGTCTAAGAATATGAGGTCAATTTATTTTTTTTTTAGTTCTCCCATGGGACTAACCCTGTCACCAAGATGACAGCTTGGGCTATGAGCAGTGTGAAAGAGAACTGAATTTCTTTCTTGGCCCCATTATAGATTCATTAGGGACATCTCAAACTACTTTGTTCACTTCCTGGTATCTCAGTTTTCTCCATAATGAAGGAGGTAATAATGAAGGAAAAACAGCTGGAGAACATCTGGAATATGACTTAGATAGAAGGAGATTATCATCAGGAACTCATGAGAAAACTTGGGTCTTTGACCTAGATGAAAGAGCAATGTTACTCAGTGGCTGAAGGTGGAAGTAGGAATCAGAGCTAAGTTCTGTATCTAGTTCTCCTGCCTTACTCCTCAGCTAATCCATCAATCAAGCATTCTTTCTTTCTTTCTTTCTTTCTTTCTTTCTTTCTTTCTTTCTTTCTTTCTTTCTTTCTTTCTTTCTTTTTCTTTCTTTCTGTCATTCATTCATTCATTTATTTATCAATTAATTAATTAGTTTGTTTGTTAGTTTATTTATTTATTTTTAGGGAATTGGGGTTAAGTAACTTGCCCAGGGTCACATAGCTGGTAAGTGTCACGTGTCTGAGGCCGAATTTGAACTTAGGTCCTCCTGACTCAGGGCCAGTGCTCTATCCACTGCGCCACCTAGCTGCCCCCAATCAAGCATTTTTAGGCGCTTTCTATGTGCCAGGCACTGTGCTAGGTGCTGAGGACACAAAGACAAAAATGAACCAGCCTCCTTACCTTAAAGAGTACATTTTATTTTGGGGAAACAATATGCACACATTTAAATCTTTAAAAATATATATACAACATAGGAGCAGCTAGGTGGTGCAGTGGATGGAGCACCAGCCCTGGATTCAGGAGGACCTGAGTTCAAATCCAGCCTCAGACACATACCACTTACTAGCTGTGTGACCCTGGGCAAGTCACTTAACCCAATTGCCTAGCCAGAAAAAAAAAAAAGAAAAAATATATACACAATATAAATATGAGTATTTTTGGAGAGGGGGAGACACTAGAAGCTGGTGGAGGGGATTAAGAAAGAAAGGGAAGGAAATAAGCATTTATATAGTGCCACCTAAGTACCTTTTAAAAAAATATTGCCATTTGATCCTTACAACAACTCTGGGAGGTAGGTACTGCTATTATCTCCATTTTTAGAGCTGGGGAAACTGAAGCAGACAGAGGTAAAGTGACTTGCCCAGGATCACACAGCTAGTAAGTGTCTGAGGCAGAATTTGAACTTAGGTCTTCCTGACTCCGGGCTCAGTACTGCACTGGACCATCTAGGAAAGGGGAGTAGTCCTATTTAGACCTCTCTCTTCCTTAGGAAGAAGTGGTTGAAGCTGACCACATCATTTGTCTGAGTAAAGTGAAGGAGCAACTCTGCATTTGAGTACAAGTATTCCTGCTGTAATTCCCGCTAGTGAAGCGGCCAGAGGAAAAGGTAAGGAAGCAGTGATGATCTATATTCTTTGTGCGAGTAATAGCCTAGTGACTGTAATGTGTAGGTTATGGAGGAAGGGATGGGCAGAGGGGAGTCTACACTGGGATTTCCATTCAATAAAATATTGGGCAGAACTGAAGGGAGGACAATTTGCAGGGCTACCTACAACCTTGGCTCCGGAAGAGCAGGGAATGTAAATTTTACGGAATGATTCTTTTTTTAAAATTAAAATATTTATTTTCAGTTCTAAATTCTCTCCTTTTCCCCTACCCCCTTTTCCATCCATTGAGAAAGCAAGAAATATGATAGGGGACAACTCTTCAATGGAATTATCCAGGGACTTGTGTATAGGGACATCAGAGAGCAATCAATCAATGGTGAACAGAGTAGAGAGGTTCAAGGTTCGAGAGGAAGCAGCTGGCACCACTTGATTCCCTAAGATATCCCCTCTTTCTGTCTTCTCCTGCTCCTGACATTCATAACACGATGTAGTTTCCACTTGAATCGTAATAAGGAGTCTTGGATTCAAGTCCTGGCTTTGCCACTAACTAGTTGTAGGACCAGGGGCAGATCATTGAACCTCTTCAGGCTTCAGTTTCCTCATCTATAAATGAAGGATTGTACTAGATATTCCCTACTAGCCTAAACAATCTATAAATCTTCCGTATCACCTTGAGTCAAAAAAAGTCTTTGTAGAACCTACCACCAATAATTCATCAGCCATAGTATCACATTCACTGTTTTACCCTTGACCAGCCACCAGAAGGCACACAGATTATTCTAACAATAGGCATTCTACCAGGCTGAAGGACTCAAGGCCCACTGGCCTTCTCCCAGCTCATTCCAATTCTCTATTCTAGGAATCTCAGAAGACGAATACTGTCTTGAATGTGTATGGCATTTTTTCAACTTTTTTGACATTTTCACATCTAAATTTGGTCTCCTACTACCTTCATGAGATAGATAAGAAGAATCTTAGCTCCCAACCTGAAAAATGAAGAAACTAAGGATTGGGGGAAAGGGGAAATGATTTATCTAAGGTCACATAACCAAGCAGTATAAAAGCCTGGTTTAGAATCTAGGTGTTTTGTGTGCTGGGCAGCTAGATGGCTCAGTGGACAGAACACTGGGCTTGGAATCAGGAAGACTCATCTTCATCAGTTCAAATGTAGTCTCAAACACTTAGTAGCTGTGTGACCCTGGGCAAGTCACTTAACTCAGTTTGACTCAGTTTCCTCATCTGTAAAATGAGCTGGAGAAGGAAATGACAAACCACTCCATTATCTTTGCCAAGAAAACCCGAATTAGGGTCATACCGAGTTGGATGACTGGAACAGCTCAACAACAAAGTGTTTTCTACTCCACCATGCTGCCTTCATCTGACCACACGAGAACCCCAGTTCCTTGTGGATTTGTGAAATCAGAAATGACTGGGAAATGAAGAGTTGAAAGATAGGAATGAAAGAGAAGGGTCTGTGGTCTTAGGTGGAAAACCTCTGGAGAACCACTCGGGCCTTCACTCCTAGTAACTCTATTCAGATCAGTATCCAGATCCATTTCCACACGTGGAAATTCCGTGGCCCAAGAAGCAAGAGGTTACCTTGTTGAATAGAGTCTAGCCACGGGTTTCATCTCAACTACTGTGTGTATAGGAACCAGAGCCATGGTAGTGACGGGGAGAAACCCTAAATTCAAAATGGGGAGTTACCTGGCAGGGGTGTGCTGTAGTCAACTGTATAAACTTTCAGTGTGAGCATTTATACCTTAGAAATTGGCAAACACCACAAATCAGGGCTTGCTATGTTGTTGATATTTGTCATTTGGTTGTATATTCAATGTATGTGAACTGGAGAGAAGAGGAAGAAACTGAGTCTTGAGAAGGAGAAAGCATCAGCCTCAAAGAAGAGAACCACTGGGGTGACTGTGAAGATTCCTCCCCTACTCAGGATGCCATAGAAAGGACACAGTTAAAATACAGTGGGAGAAAAAAAATGAATGCTTCTTCCATCCACCGAGGGATAGGAATGTCTTTATGCATTGGACTAGAAGGGAGCAGGGTAGACTGGGATTTAGAAGGAAGGCCTTATAGTAGAAGTAGAAGGAAGGTGGGAAAGGGTTGATACAACGGGAGGCTGATAAGTTGGAGAGCAGCCAGAGGTAAGCAACCAAGATGGTGAAAGGCATGAGGATTGGTTGAGGGAAAAGGGGTTGTTGAGCCTGGAAAAGAGAGGACTTGATGGGGGACATGAGTATTTGAAGCAAGATAGATGAGAATTGTTCTGCTTGGACTCCAAAAAGGGAAAAGTGGAAACAATGGGTGGAAATTACAGAGAGGCAGCTTTTGGCTTTCCAATGATTAGAGTTAGGCTAAAACGTGTAATGGTTTGTCTCTGGAGGTAGTGGTTTCGCCCTCATTAGAGGTCATAGAGCACAGACTGGATGACCAGTTCTTGATGATGACGTAGGAGATTCCTGTTCAGTTATAAGTTGGATTAGGTGGTCTCTGAGTTCCCTCCAACTTAGCTGATCCTCAGGAGAGATTTGGGTGACAATAAGAACTGTAATGTCTGTGAAAGCTTTTTTTTTTTTTTTTAGTGAGGGCAACTGGGGTTAAGTGACTTGCCCAGTGTCATACAGCTAGTGAGGGTTATGTGTCTGAGGGCAGATTTGAACTCAGGGCCTCCCGACTCCAGGGCTGGTGCTGTATCCACTGTGCCACCTGGCTGGGTAGGCCAATACAAATGTAAGGTGCCATTATTAACACAATAGAGCAAGTCCCTTTCTCTGAACCTGTTTTCTCATCCGAAAAATAAAGGAAGTAGATTTAATGATGCATAAGACCCCTTCCAGCTCAAACTTTCAATGATATAATTCCCTAATCTTCACCTTGGTCTACTCAAAAGAACGCCCCAGACTGAAGTTTCCCTTGACAGCGGCCCTCACACAGCACTCTGCCCATTAAGAGGCCTTATTCATTTTATTTCACATCGTTAACGATAATGGTAACTTTGTGGTCTTGGCAAGGAATGACAGAGTCATCTGCAGGAGTAAGAAAAAGGCTAATATTTACATGCTGCCACATACCTGTCTGCCATCTTTCTGGTTGCAGGCCTCCAGTGTGACTTGTGACCCTGTAGAGAAAGATGTGATGGAGAGACACTTGTCCTGTTGCCTGATGACAGGATCACTGAATACCCACTCCTACAAGGTAGGAAAAATAGAAAGAATCTATTGTTAGCATTAGGCTTAAGACTCTTTGGGGGATGCTTATCTTTTATATTGTTTAGATAAACAAAATGGGTTTGCAATATACTCAACACTTATCATATCTATTGTCCTGCTTCTGGGCTTACAACATTTCAAATATACCATCTAACCAGTGGGAGAATCCCATCCAAGCATTTTGCTCCCCTCCCTTGATTTTTCAGGGTCTACTACCCCTGGTAATTCACTCAGTTGACTGCCCTAATAAGGCTGTTCAAGCACAGAATGGGTTATGTCCATAAATACCTAAAGCAAAATGTTCGAAAGGACCAAGTTGTCATAGCTTTCAAGAGGACTGTGAGAACTGAAATCCACAACGGCACCAGGTGATTCCATTAAGTCAGTCCATTAAGGCCTTCTATCTGAGGCCTGCCCTGAAATCCTCCCTGATGTGAAGGTGACCCTAAAACAATATATCTATCTCTCTTTTTATCTAAGTATCTATCTACCTCTGCAAAGAGTTTTGTATGTGTGTGCATATATACATACATATACATATACACATATATATATATATATATGGAGACATTATCTATCTCCATATTTATAGATCCATTTGCTATTGTTCAGTCTTTTCAGTTATGTCCAACTCTTTGCGAACCCTTTTTTGGGTTTTCTTGGCAAAGATACTGCAGCAGTTTGCCATTTCCTTCTCCAGCTCATTTTCCAGATGAGGAACTGAGGCAAACAGGGTTAAATGATTTGCCCAGGGGCACACAGTTAGTAAGTGTCCTGGGCCAGATTTGAACTCATGAAGAGGAGTCTCGCTGATTCCAAGCCCAGTTCTCTATCCACTGCACCACCTAGCTGCCCACATATAGAATACTATATATATATATATGTATATATATCTACATATTATATATATATATACACACACATATGTGTGTATATGTATATGTATGTGTATATATATATATATATTCACACACAGAATATTCTGTAATGTCTATAATAAGTGCTTTGGGGCTTTCAAGATATCTGCTTATCATTTCCTATATTAGAAAGAGCTCGTGGAAAACCCAGATCATTATACACAGTAATAGCAATATTAAAACAATGATCAACTGTGAAAGACTTAGTTACTCTGAGCAACACAAAGATCCAAGACAATTCCAAAGGACCCATGATGAAACATACTGTCCCCCTCCAGAGGAAGAACTGACGGACTCTGAATGTGGATTGAAGCACACTTTTTTGATTCTCTTGCTTTTTCTTTTCTTTTCTTTCTTTCTTTCTTTCTTTCTTTCTTTCTTTCTTTCTTTCTTTCTTTCTTTCTTTCTTTCTTTCTTTCTTTCTTTCTTCCTTCCTTCCTTCCTTCCTTCCTTCCTTCCTTCCTCTCTCTCTCCTCTCTCTCTCTCTCTCTCTCTCTCTCTCTCTCTCTCTCTCCCTTCCTTCCTTCCTTTCCTTCCTTCCTTCCTTCCTCCTTCCTTCCTTCCTTCCTTCCTTCCTTCCTTCTTTCCTTTCTTTCTTTCTTTCTTTTCTTTCTTTTCTTTCTTTCTTTCTTTCTTTCTTTCTTTCTTTTTTTTCTTCTTTCTTTTTTTCTTCCTTCCTTCTTCCTTCCTTCCTTCCTTCCTTCCTTCCTTCCTTCCTTCTTTCTTTCTTTTTTTTTTGCAACATGGCTAATATAGAAATATGTTTTGCATGACTTTACATGTATAATTCATATCATATTAGCTTGCCTTCTCAATGGATGGGGGAGAGGTAGGAAGGAAAGGGAAAATTTGTAACTCTAAAAAATGCTAAAAACAAATGAATGAATGAATATAAATAAAAAGTTAACGTACAAGATATCAAAGGTGGCCATTTAGAAAGAAAAGTGGTATACAGAAGAACTAGGGAGTTGGGCAGCATAGTGGGATGCTTGGGTTCAATTCTCAATAGTTCCACCAACTCTGAGATTCTATGGGTGCTAGCATATACATGTTGTAAAGGGTTTATGCAAGACCTTTTTTTGCCTTCAAGGTGAAGCTTATATAGGCTGATTCATATAAGAAGAGTATTTAACTGACACCCAAAAGATACCTGCTGGAAAGGAGATGAGAACAAAGCAGGAAGGGGAAGAAAGTCTAGGTGTGAAGTGTGGTGATGTGGTGGGGAAATGGGCATGATGGTTGCAGAGGGAGAGAGAGGAAGAGGATTGGATGAAGAACTCGGGGTGAGAAGAGCTCCACCTTTCCATAGCAACTCTGCTGTCGGAATATCATTCAAAGCTTTTCTCATGCTTTCTTCTCATTTTGTCTCAGGGATGAGGCTATCTTAGGTCAGAGCCAGAAAGGTGGCACCAGCTTGCCAAGCAGCCTACCTGAGTCATAAGAGGATTGTTTGACGTCCCTCTGCAGCTCCCCACAACAACCAGGTTGTTGCCTGCTGTGTCCTGGCCCTGGGATTCCAAGCAATTTGTTCCTTGCTTAATGATCCCAGGAATCAGCTCCTTCTCTGGGATCCTGAGAGAGAAGGACATTCAACTCTATCAATATGAGTGCTGCCCTTGGAATTTTCCTCCCTATGGGGTAGAAAGAGCGCTGGCTATAGGGTCAAAGGACCTGGATTCAAATTCCATCTTATTAGCTATGCAGCTGTGGGGATCACTTGACTTCTCAGTGACTCAGTACCCTTCTCTGTAAAATGGGGATAATATCTCACAGGAGTGTTATGAGGAAACTGATCTGCAAACCTTGAAGTACTATATAAATACAACTAATAATCATAACATATTACTAATTATTAAATTATCAACTAATGATTATTTAAAACAAAACTATTGAATTGGTTACTTGTTGTTGTTATTGTTATTATTACTACTATTGCTACTGCTACTAGAACTGTCTTGCTTAAGGCCCCCCTTCTTGTATGCTTCCCTTATGGGTTCCGTTATGTGAAGGGAACTGTGACCTCTTGCTGGCAGGAATCTTTGACAAAGGCACCCCTTGGAGAGGGTAGTGACTATAGTTCCTGCTGACCCCAGACGCAACTTTGCATCATAACCCAACTCTGCAGAGAAAATGTGCTCCAAACTGTTATTCCTAGGGGAGAAGGCTATCAGGAGAACACACAGATGTAAACGGAAAGACTCTCAGGACCCCAAACCACCATGACCACGCTCCCTAACCAAACCTGACTCCTCATTCTACCCCCATGTGCAATTTGTCTGTGAATTGCAGAGTTATATTGGTCATTTTCCTCAAAATACACCAGCTCTAGTCACTCTTTCTCTAAATACTTTGGTTACCATGGCCCCAGTAATAAGAGGAAACTGAGGCTTGGGGGCAGGAAGCAACTTGCCCAAGGCCACACAGATAATGAACAGCAAAATTAAGGTTTAATCCAGGTCCCCAACTTCAAATCTAGTGTCCTTTCTAGTTTGGTGAGCACGCTGCCATTCTGTACCATTACACACCTCCACTGAGCCCTTCCCTTCTCACTCCCACCACCTTCCTTCATAGGAGCCTCCTAACCAAATAGTAGACAAGGTGGAACTATTGAAGGCAGCTAGGTAATGAGTAGAGTTCTGGAGTTGGAGTCAATAAGACCTAAGTTTAAATCCTGCCTCAGACACACTTACTAGTTAGTTGTGTGGCCCCAGACAAGTCACTTAACCACTATATGCCTCAGTTTCCCCATCTGTAAAATGAGGATAATAACATCTGCCTTACAAGATTATTGCGAGAATTAAATGAGATCACATTTGTAATGCTCTTTGGGAACATTAAAACTATGTAAATACTAGTTATTATTATTGTTATTATTATTACAAAAATGAGAGTCACTTTTAAACAAACACATCATAAGCTACCCATCCAAAAAAAATGTTATTTCCTTCAGAGCAGTCCCTTGGGGGCGACATGTGCTGCTGCCAACAAGACTGCTCAAAACATTTATGAAAATTTTCTTTTGAAAATGCCTTCAAAGCCAGTTTAACGACTGTACAACAAAAGAAGCTTTGTTCCCTTTTCTTTCAAGGGAGGGTTCAAAGGTGAGGGGTTTAGGACATAGACATTGGGCGATGACTGTTGTTAAAAAATAAAGAGTATCAATAGAACATTCTCCCCCTGTAAAGTGTAAGCTCCTCCAATTTGATTCCATTCAATGAGCCTTAAAGTTCAAACCATGGGCCTGGCACTGTGGTAGGTGTTGGGGACAAAGATACAAAAGAAGCTGTCCCTGAACTCAAGGAGCTTCCCACCTATTTGAGGGTAAATGGTATGGACACAAATAAGTAAAAGCAAATACATACAAAAAAAATACAAAGTCATTTTGGAGGGTGGATGGTGGAGGGTACTAACAGCTGGGGAGGCTCCTGAAAACACCTCTTGAGGAAGGTGGCATCTAAACTGAGCCTTGAAGAGAACTAGAAATTCCAGGAGGTGGAGATGAAGAGGGAGGGCATTCTAAGCAGGTGGACAAGGGCAAAAAAGGTGAGAAATGGAATCTTTTAAAAATTTTTTTTTTTTGGCAAGGCAATCAGAGTTAAATGACTTGCCCAGGGTCCAGTATTATGTGTTTGAGGCTGGATTTGAACTCATGTCCTCCTGATTCCAGGGCCAGGGCTCTATCCACTGCACCACCTAGCTGCCTCTGAGAAATAGAATCTTATGGGACTTAAGTAGGCCCACGTGATTAGAGTGCAGTGTATGAGTGTGTATGTGTGTGTAATGTGAAATCATTGAGGCCAGGAGTGGTAGTACATTGTATCCTTAATACCTAGTACAGTATGATGTTGGTACTTAATAAACCTTTGTAGAAAGAAGGAACGTGGTGTAGGGCATAGAGCACTGGGCCTGGAGTCGGGAAGACTCATCCTCCTGAATTCAAATTTGGCCTCAGACACTGTATGCTAACTGTATGACCCTGGGCAAGTCACTTACTCCTGTTTGCCTCAATTTCCTCATCTGTAAAATGAGCTGGAGAAGGAAATGATAAACCATTCCAGCATCTTTGCCAGGAAAACCCCAAATGGGGTCGTGAAGAGTTGGATATGACTGAAATAACTGAACAACAAACAATAAAAAGAAAGAAACAAGGAGAAAAGGAAGAGGAGGTGAGGGGTGAGAAGAAGAGGGGAGAGGAAGGGAAGAAAGGGAAAAGGGGGAAAAAAGGAGTGAACAACAGACACTAAAGACAATTCCCACGAAGACCTTCTTGAAATATTTTGTCTCTAGGCCACCCTATTATTCAAAGATAACTGGCTATTTGGGTGCCTGCTATGAAGGGGTTAATGTTCATTTGGACATGGAAGCCCTAGCATGTTTTATTACAAATCAGTCCCACAACTTTTTAGTTCTATTTCTTCTTTTCTGCTAAACTTTTACATCTCGACTCCCTCTTAGCCTTCACCCCACTCTCGTCTAGTAACTGGTAAGGGAGTTCAAGACTAGCAGAAAAGAGGCCAGCCATCTGGGACAACACTTGTGGACATAGGAAAAACCCAAAGAGAAGGGGAAAAGAAGGGTGTCTCCAACCACTGAACCCCGCCTGATTCCCATGCTCCTTTTCTAGGTCCCCATAAAATGACCAGTCCAGACACTATTCTAGGTAGCACAGACGATTGCCCCACCTGGCGTCTTCTTACAAAAACATCATTAATATCAAGTTACTACAAAAGCCTGAGAGATCTACTCACTTGAGCTCCGGATAGACATTTTCCAGGTACCACTGGAAGGACTTGCAGTTCATTTTCTTCCTCTGTTCCTCTCGGTCAGCTATACTGAAAGAAGAATTGAGTTCAATTGAACAAGCACTTATGTGAAATCAAAGAACTGAACTGATCTAGGAAGCTGGTGGCCACAGAAATGTTACTATGAGGATTACTAGAGACCCCAAATGCTAGGAGATGCCTAGCAGGTTTTACCCACAGTTGGGTCAAACCACAAGCACAAATGGGGCCGAAGGTCTGGACCTACTCACTCTTGCCTTATAAAATCTGGCCCCAGACACTTACTAGCTGTGTGACTCTAGGCAAGTCACTTAACCTTATTTGCCTCAGTTTCCTCATCTGTAAAATGAGCTGGAGAAGGAAATGGCAAACCACTCCCAGTATCTTTGCCAAGAAAACCCCAAATGGGGTCATGAAGAGCTGGACACAATTAAAACAACTGAATAACAACAATAGTAAGAGTATGGAATTTAGAACAGGAAAGGATCTTAGAGCTTATCTGATCCAACTCCCTAATTTGAAAGATGACAACACTGAAGCCTAGAGAGCTTGTCACACAGCTAGTATCAGAGCTCAAACTGGAACCTAGGTCTCTGAAAAAAATTTTTTTAGGCAATTGGGGTTGTGACCTGCCCAGGGTCACACAGCTAGTAAGTGTCAAGTGTTTGGTCTGAGGCCAGATTTGAGCTCAGGTCCTCCTGACTTCAGGGGCGATGCTCTATCTACTGCGCACCTAGCTGCCCCTTGAAAGTTTTTTAACTTGAATAAATTGCCAAAATTAGGTTGTCTTCAAGATGAAGTACAAAAGAATTTAGCTTTCAGGTTTCCATTTTGTTATGATTTCCCTGTATATGCAAAGAAGTCTCAACACAGGCCTATTGGGAGAGAAAAGTTGAGAAGAGGCCAGAAACTGTGTTTGCCAATGTCTAGGATGATGTTTCTGAGTTTTTATTGTACCCAGAGCTTGAAATGTAGGCCATTTGTTTGTATATTCCTCAGAGGGACTGTCGCTATCTTTTTTAAAAATTATTTTTATTCATATTATTAAATACTTCCCAATGTCAACAATCATTTTTTTAAAATTTGAGTTCTAAATTCCCTCCCTCAGTTCTGTCCCTTCCCCATTCTTGAGAAGGTAAGCGATTTGATATTGATTATTCATGTGAAGTCACGCAAAACATATTTCCGCATCAGTGATGTTGGCACTGACTATCTTAACTAGGCCTTCTGATAGCCAAGACATGCCTTTGTGTGATAACTCCTTGACTATCTCCTACCATTCATTTTCAGGCCTGGATGGCCACTCCACTCCACTCTACTTTGTCACTCTATTCCTTCAAAACTCAGTTCAAAATTCATCTGCCAGATTAACCCCACACTGCTCTGATCATCCCTTTCTCTGCTGCATTTCATCACTCAAGTACCCGGTTTTACTTTCTGTAAGTCTGCTTTTCTTTCTTTTTTCATTCGCTCATAAATATTTAACACACACACACAGAGATTATGTTGGGCATTGTAAAGGATATAGCTGTCTATAAAGAAATTCTCCTGTTGTCAAGGAGAATCCAATCTACTGGTGAAGAGGTATAAACAAATATCTGCTTTGTAAAGTGATATATGGGCATTGCCATATGAGTGATAGCAGTGAATACCAGGAGAGCCATCACTTCTACTCTGAGTGCTCAAGAGCACTTAATGGAGGAGGCATAAGGCCTTGAAAGATAAGTAGGGTTTTCATAGTCCAAGATAAAAGAGGAAGGTACCTTTGCATTGTCTTTCACCAATGGCTAGATATATCTGCTTTTCTTTGTGGGCAGATTTTAAAAGGTGGAAACCTTATGGAATTGAAGTAATTTTTTTTTGTACTCCATCTTTGTTATTTGTAGTTGAGAAGAGCTGCATTTTGGCCATTTAAAATGATGAACTTTTTCTGGACTGTTATTATTGAGGGTAACTAAAGAGATGAGTCAGGCCAGTTGGTTGTTTTTTCGTTATTTTCAGTCATGTCCAATTCTTTGTGACCTCATTTTGGGGAGTTTTCTTAGCAAAGATACTGGAGTTTGCCGTTTCCTTCTCCAGAGCATTTGACAGATAGAAGAAATGGAGGCAAACAGGGTTAAGCGACTTGCCCAGGGTCACACAGCTAGTAAACATCTGAGGCCAGATTTGAACTCAGGAGGAGGAATCTTCCTGATTCCAGGCCTGGCGCTCTATCCACTGTGCAACCTAACAGCAACAGTGTTAACCTCCCCCAACCTCTTCCACAGAGGCCTCTTGCAGAACAATGACCGGGCACACCACCAGGGCTTACCTGCCGAAGGATTTTCCAATGGCAGATGGCCGGGCTTCGTAGTAATATTGTTTGTACTCATCCATCCAGACTTCTGCAGTGCGCTTGGTATTCCTGAAAAAGCCAGAGGGGGGTGAGGGAAAGACAGAAGCAAGGCTCTAGGGGCACAGAAGTCTGTTTGAAGGTCAGCATTGTAAGACTTTCAAGAGTGAGGGGGATGTATAGACCGGTTGTTCTATCATATCTTGGGAGCTGTCCTATTACGGGCTGGGATCAGCAGGGGAAATAAAATTCTTAAAAAACCAGGTTTCAATCATTTTACACTTTTGTTAAAACACTGTTAGGTATCTAGGCGGATTGATTTCATTTATGTAGTATTTTGAATAAACGAATATTTTCCTTATAAAGTTGTCTTTCGTATATGTTACTAACACTACTGACTCACAATCATTAATGACATAAGCATGGAGTTGTTTTTCTGAAATGAGTGTAGGTTTGTACTGATCTGACCAAACCATCATATTCATTTCCTTTGTGAGCAAGGCTTGGGTCAGAGCAAAGCAGAGTGGCACAGGTAGGGATTGAACCCCTGAGCAGGGTGTCTTTAAGCTGATGCTTTATTAAAGACTTTAAGGATTTTTAATTTGAAGTCAATAGACACCCCTCACACACACACACACACACACACACACACACACACACACACACACAGGGGTCTAGGGATAAAAATAAACTTTATTTCAATATAATTGGTTTTCTTTGTAACCTTATGTATTTTGTTTTATGCATTTAAAAATATTACTCTAAGAAGCGGTCCACTGACTTCACCAGACCACCATTGATTCCAATAAAAATTAAGAACCCTACTCTAGACAAAGGAGTTACCTGTAAATGACTGGTTGCTTCTGAATCACTTTGAGGGAAAAGGTCTGGGGAACGAGAAGAAATGAGGACCACATGTATCACAGGGCCAATCTGATAGCTATGCAGGAGTGACTGATCTAGAGAGACTGCATGTGGGGAAGGTAGAGGAATGTCGTTGTTGTTACAGGAAAGAGAAGAGGGCACTATAGGATGCACAGGCAGACAACGATGCAGGTGACACTCCGTCCTGTATGAACAGAGGACTGTTTGTTGCTTGTAGTACCAGGGCTGAGGGAAACAGCTGCATTGGCTAGTAACTGATTCCACTGGGCACTCGAGGGATAGGGGTCTGGTGTATGTTGGATTGAGCCAGCTTATACACGCTGATATACAGTTAGAGTCAACACAACAGAGGGAATGTTTGGGGTTGGGAGGTATTTAGACCTGTTTTGTTTTTTAATCTCATGTCTCCTGAGGTGAGTTAACAGGTTCTCTGTTGGTGTAGGGTCACGTGACTCATGGTGCCCCAGAGACCAGGCCAGAATTAGAAAAGCAAATAGTGATGGAAGTTCTGGACTGGTCCAGACTAGGCCTGTATGAATTGTGCCGACTGAGCTTTACTTCTAATTTCCCATGCCTAGAGAAGAGTGGTCAATGGCAGGCACAGGTCACATCTACCATATTCCTTGCTCCATCCCTATCTGCCTGCTGCTTGGAATGGAATGGTAGCTCTAACCCCAATTTCTGCTCTATGAGCCAGAACTTATTTTTGGAAGTTGATCAGACTATCACTTGTGTCTACCAAGTCTTTCAAACAAAATGGGAAGAGAGAAATTAGAGGAAACACTGCTAGGTTCCCTCCCCATACCCCATCCCTCACATCCTCCCCTAGGCCCTCCCCAGGGTACCTACTTTATGTATGTGAGGGCATTACCCTCTGGGAAGTCATATGGGTGCCGTTTCCTGAAGACATGGCCCACTCGGCTGCAGGGGACAATCTCTAAGCTCCCACCACACATCCACACCCGGAAGGAGAGCTCTGCAAGAGACCTCAGCGATTAGTAGGTCAGAGAGGGGTACCTAGGACTCGGGGAGTGACCCTTACACATCATCTCTCACGAGAAAGAGGTTAAGTGAGCTTGATTCCCCTCCCCTCCCAACTCTTACCATGTGCAGATATTGTAGATGAAACCTCCTGTATCTGTTAAGTCCCCCGTTAGAATGTAAGCTCTTTGAGAGTAAAAATGATCTATTTTTTCTGTTTTTCCCCATTGCTGTGCACCACAGTTAGCACTTAATAAATCTTTTTCACTCATTCATGTTGGATATACACACTTGTGTACATGTGCAAAATTATCCAGATATGTACAAACACATACGAATTACACATATAGTCAGGATAAATACCCAAATCTGGACCGCTGGCAGTAACAAGGTAAGCCATGAGAAAAAGGAGGAGCTGTTAGTAAAAGGGGAACATTTAACCACATAGGATAACTTTGCCTCTGCATCATTTCCAGTCTCTGTCCAGGAGGCATATTCCAGACATGAGCTAAGGAGGAACGAACCACCCCAGTTGGTCAGTTCCTGAGACGTACAAAGTCTGATTAACTGGGGGAAAGCCGCCCAAGCCACAGTTCTCTTACTAATCCAGCTGGCATCTCCTTGGTTGGCTCTAGATTTCCCACTCCTCTGAGGTGGCTCCCGTCCATTGGCCGCTACTTTGATCAAAGCTCTGTATCACATCCCCTCCCCTTCTTGAAATGGTCTCCTTTGGGGGTTTTCTAGCACTTCTCACCCTCAAAAACACTCTACTTCTCCTCCTCACACTCATTTCTTAACCCTTTGCTACCTTGTTCCCAACTTCATTCAAAACTGCTCCAAAGTTACTAATGATTTCTTAACAGACAAATCCAATGGTCTTTTCTTGATCCTCATCCATTCTGAACTGCTACCTTCACTTGGCACTGATCACCAGCACCTCATTCTGGATGCACTTTTCTCTCTGGGTTTTTAAAACATTGCTTGCTGTCTCTTGGTTCTCCTCCTAGCTGTCTATCATCCCTTCTCAGTCTCCATTGCTAACCTACCATCTATATCACACTCCTTAACTGTGGGTGTGCCCCAAGATTTTGTCTTGAGGCCTCCCCTACAACCTCTCACTTTGTGACCTCATCTATCCCCGTGCGTTTCGTCGTTTCATTGTCTAATCATTTCAGTTGTGTCTGACTCTGTGACCTCATTTGGGGTTTTCTTGGCAAAGATACTACTGTAGTGGCTTGCCATTTTCTTCTCCAGCTCATTCTGCAGAGGAAGAAACTGAGACAAACAGGGTTAAGTGACTTGCCCAGGGTCACACAGCTAGCAAGTGCGTGAGGCCAGATTTGAACTCAGGAAGATGAGTCTTCCTGACTCTAGGCCCAGCACGTTATCCACTGTGCCACCTAGCTGTCCCTGTGTTTTGTCTCTTTATTAAAATGAAATTATTAATTATTATTAAAATTAAAATGAATCTCTCTGAAGAATTTTGGGACGGGATTGTGAGACATGGGAGACACTGGCACAGAACAACCCAGCATGGCTTGCCTGAATCAAAGAAGAAGCTGTGCTCTATGAGCAAAGCAGAATTGCAGTAGCTCAAAAGAAACATGAGACGCACAAAGTCAGAGACATCTTCACTCCAAATGCTCATATGGCTATCTGCGCCAGCCTGTGGTCGAGCCTTCCAAGCCTGTGTTGATCTGATCAGCCAGTCAGACACGGTGTTCTTGACCCCAACGTGGTCTTTTGGGTCTTCTAGCACCAAGGACACCAACCAACCAGACCGTGTAAACACCTCAGGGACAGCGCCTGTCTTGTATTTGTATTCTCAGTCTTTCTAGCATAGAGTCTGGCCCAGAAGTTCTTAATAATTGGTCTTTTTATTCATTCGTTGCAAACCTTAAAATGCTACCTAAATGTCAGCTGTTCTAATTGTTATTGTTATCATCCCTATTATTTGAGTGTCAGGGTGGCAGAAGCCATTTTCCAACTCACCAAAATTCTCCCCGCCCCAGATGTCCATCTGAGTGTCATATTTTCCCAAGTGGTTAAACCAGGCCTTGTCAATCACAAAGATTCCTCCAGCTATGACGGGTGTTCTGTGAGTGAGAGGGGAAAAGAATCCACAGGCAAGGTCCATGAGGATGCCTACAAAACAGGAGCACTCTCTCCCTCCACCTTCTCCCCCACAATGGTCTTTCTTATAGCATCACCCACATGCTGGCCATCACGGTTTCCCAAGGAGAAGTAGGGTTACTGATGCACGTAGCAGCTCTTTTGTCCCCACATTGCTAAAAACCCAGGCTACCTATTTATTGTCCATTCCCGATATCTCAACCGAACTTGGGCCTAGATCATTTGAAAGAGAGCATTTGAACCATGCCTTCGAGGAGCTAAGACGCTCAGCCTTGGATTTCCTGGGACTAATGTGTCCTCATCTTCACCCTGGCTCTTTTTCCACACTGCTGTCACTGCTATTGCTACCCCTTCCAAACCAACTCTCCACAGACTATGCCCTAAAGGAGTTAAGATATTCACCCCTGAACTTCCTGGGACCATGTCTCTATCTTCACCCTGTCCATTTTCTACCCTGTCATTTCCTACTTTCCATGTCTTGTTTAAAGAATTATAATCAAACCATTACTACCATTGCCTCTAGAAAAGGTACATCAGTTGATGGTCCTATTGCTACACTCAAAATGGGTGACTTTCCAGACTAAAGCACTTCTCCTTGGCCACCACTCCACTGCCCTATATGTACTGTTTCACTTTGTAATGTCCTTGAGGGAAAGGACTGTATCTTACTTCTGTATCTGCAGTGCCAGTGCTTAGCACAGTGCTTGGCCTATAGTAAGCTAATATTTATCAAGCTCAGCTTGAGAAATGCTTCCTTCCTTCCTTCCTTCCTTCCTTCCTTCCTTCCTTCCTTCCTTCCTTCCTTCCTTCCTTCCTTCCTTCTTCCCTTCCCTTCTTTCTTCTGGAAAAATCAGTTACTGACACAGTGGCTTGAGAGGGAGGGAACTCCTCCTGTTACCCTTGAGATCTGCAGCCCAGGAACAAGAAAGAAGCCAACCTACCGAATTGGCTGGGTGGGGTCTGTCCGGGACATTTTCTGTTCTATGGGTATTTGTTCCCATTTGAAATGAAGACTCCAGTCAAATCCTGAGGGGTGGGCAAGTAGTTAGGGAGAAAGAACACAACAAAGCAGACACCAGGCCATATACCCCTGGCTCTATTCCCCTCAATTTCTCTCCTGAATCAGGAACACTAGCTAACCAAAGAAGTATTGAGGTCAGTAAAGAAGCTAAGGTAAGGGGGGGGGGGGAAGGGCAGGGCACTGAGTAAACAGACAAGATTGATAAGACATGGTCCTTTCTTTCATGGAATTTACAGTCTGTAAGAATGTACTTTGTAAAGTTAAAAGTGCCATAAAAGTCATCATCATTTTTACAATAATTACTAGCAAAGAAGAATAAAAATAACAACTTTCCCTCTCCTTTCCCTCAGCTTCTTGACCACTAATTACCTCAGGATATAGACACTACAGCTTTTATCTTAGGCAATCCTTGTCAAACTTCTAGCCAGGTCTTCAAAAGTACTACTTTCCCTTCATTTAGTCCCTATAATAGGTATCATCAGGACACGAAGGAAGAAGTGACATAGGGAATCATTGGAAGGCCATCCAATCAGAGACTTCCAATTTCCAGGGCCAAGGGCTGCTCCCAGGAAAGCTGTACTCACCTCCCCGAAGGTCAGCAGATGCTGCCAGGTATGCAAAGTTATCCAGGCTGATGACATCAATGATGGGGCTGACCACCCGCGTATAGTCCTAGAGAAAAACAGAAGTGGACTAAGGAGCTAAGGAAAAGGGATGGCTGCTGGGGAAACAGAGACTGGACACCAAGGAAAGAAAGGGCTGTGGGGGAAACCTCAGGACCCATATGCCACTTGACAGGCTTAGGCTGCTTATTAGAGAAAGAAAAACCCTGATGGGATTGGGGGTCTGAGGTCTCGAGCAAAAACTCTTCAGCACATACTATACAGACCCTGGAAAGCTCATGCAAGTCACTGTGGGTTCCCCCTCTTTTTTGGTACGGTCACTCCCAATCCTAGTGGGAAACATGATTTTTTCTGATTCCTCCCCTGCTCATTCTCTCATAATCTCTCTCTGCCTAGCCCACTCCACACCATTTCCCTCCACTTATACGAACACCGTTGTCTCTCAGGACCAGAGGTGTATGACTAGGGACACTGTCAGCTTCAGTCAGGCCAGGGCAACCTTTCGAAGACGCAGGGGGCCCAGTGGTGGAGGTAGGTGCCCATGAGAGGGAAAGGACCTCGTGAGCTCCCTGCCCCCCACCCTGGGTGTTGGCCCCACTGAAACAAATCTTTAGTTATAGCCCTGTCCAAGACCAAGTTGAAGTTCCATTTCCTCCACGAAGTCTCCCCTTCCCAGTCCTCTGCCTCCTCTAATCTTCTCCCATAGCCACGATAATTTCTAGGGAAGGAGAAGGAGGAAGGGGGAAGGGAACATGTATTTATTAAGCTCCTACTATATGTTAGGCACTGCGCTAAGCACTTTACAAAAATTATCTCATTTGATCCTCACAACAACCCTGGGAGGTTGTTTTTATTATTATCACTCCCATTTTACAGATGAGGAAACTTAGGGAAATAAAAACTAAGTAACTTTCCCAGGGTCACACAACCAGTAAGTGCCAGAGGCTGGATTTGAACTTGCCTTCCTGACTCCAGGCCCCATACTCTGTGTACTATGGTACCCTCTAGCTGCTTTTACAACTCATAGGGAAAATCATTGTGCGTTGTCTTGGGTCATCTCTCCCATCATGTGGGTACACTTACCTCCTTCACTCTCTGGAGCATGGGCTGAAGCCACTCACTGTTCACCTCACAGTGGCTATCCAGGAAGGTAAGGATATCTGCTATTGCCACCTCAGCCCCTCGAACACGGGAACGGATCAACCCTGCAATTGAGGAAAGGAGGGATAGTGAGAATGAGAGCAGCTGCTAACCTTAGAACTTCTCAAGTTCCTTAGAAAAGAAGACTTCTAAACCCAAAGGTTTAAATGGGTTCCAGCCAGGGAGTACTGGGTCCATTTTTCAGAAAGAAACACTAAGGCACAGAATTTGACAAAGGTCATACTATATATCGGTGGCAGAACCAGGAGTAGAACACAGGTCCACCAGCTGAATACCTTCCTACCCTAACTCTGAGGCCACTGCCTCTGGGTCAGAGGTTTTATTATTTATTATATGCTTGAGCATCAAAGATGGCCATTGAAAGTATGACCAAGATAAGGAACTGGATGCCAGAACTGGTAACATATCCCTAGGATCTAGCTAGAGTTTGGCTCATTTCAATTTCATCACATCCCTTGACATGGTCAGTCACCCACTGACCTACACTATCCACTTTAGGACTTTTGCTCTGTTCAACCCTTGGCATCTCCTAAATCAAAGACGACAGGAGCCCCAACTGATCTTGCAAGTGATAGAACTGAGTGTGTCAGACAGTGCATGTAGCAGACACCCACCACCGAGATGAGATAGGCTCAAGTCCTTTAGGGCTCAAGCCCAAGTTGGGGTCGGGAGATCTCAGCTGAGAGAAGGCAGGTCTGGCAAATCAGAGCGCAGAGAACTGGAATCAAGAGGTAAGGGCAAGGACAGACGGAGAAAGAGAAGGAGCAGGAGTCTTCGGGACTCACCCTCACGCCGATCGTTGCGGAGACATTTGACTTTAGGGATCCTGGTCAACAGCAGGCAGTCTTCAGCTATAAAAGAGTTCCAAGTGAGGACAACATAGCCATACAACGTCAGAGCATGAGCAGCAAAGACAAAGCTTTGAATATTCTGAGAGCTATTACCTAGCTTCTTGTCAGAGCTGGGGAAGTGGGGCAAGGGGTGGGGAGCTCTGCTTCTCTTTCAACATCAACTAGTCACATGGTTATCCTGCAGGGCTGCACAACCTCTCACTGATGCTCCTGTCTGACCATTTCTCTCTGCCTATGAAGCCCTTTCTTAGCAGGCTTTAAAGAGCAGAGGTGCTTAAAGGGTGGTACTCAAGATCTCTAGTGAAGGTTGGTCTCTGGTAGGGTTAACATTGAAAACATGGTAGTCTCCACACTTCCTATTCTGGAAGGTATTAATAATCTACTGACGTTCCTTTAATAAAAACCAGACATCAGATCACTGGTGTCTCCTACATTCCTTCCCACTCTTTCTGGGAAGGCAGCTTTGCAGCAGCCAGTGGTACTGGGTGCAGAAAGTAAGTTTCCCTTAAATCATGATCAGATGAGATCTTATGTGTAAAAGGGGCTACAAAAACCTTAAAGGGCTCTGTAATTTTATTTAACCATCATGGACTGGCAGCATCTCTGCAACTTACAAGCTACTTTAAAGCATTGAGAAATTAAGCGACCTCCTGACAGTCATACAGCCAGTGTGAATGAAGGAAAATAATACTTGTGAACGTCCGTATGTGCCAGGCACTGTACTAAGCTATGGGAATACAAATACAACCAATGTAGTCCCTGACCTCAAGGAACTTACTTTCTAATAAGGGACACACAGAGGGGAACAGTGGCCAGGGAGGAATGTTCTGGTCCAGGAGGTCAGAGCAAATTAATTGACATATCCTTTCCAGGAATGTCAGTGTTGACTTGATTAGTGTTCACGTAGCTACAGTTGGTAAGGGGGTGGGGGACAGTACACACACGAAGGCATTGGTGTGGAGATGGCCAGGAATGACTCCACGGGTCTGCAGAATAATGTCCAATCAGGGCCCGAGATCTCTGCATATGTTAGGGGTGGGACTGGCATGGTAAATAAAATGTTGGACTTGCAGTCAAAGACCTGAGTTTGAATCCCATCTCAGACCCTTTACTACCCTGGGCAAGCCACCTACTTGTGCCTCAGTTTCCTCATCTGTAAAATGGGGATAATAAAGCATCTACCTCACGGGATTGTTGTGAGGCTCAAACGTTAAAGCACTATATAAATGCTAGCTGCTATTATTATTTGAGCTCAGGTCTCCTTGAATCCAACGCTATCTCTCTAATCATTATCCTGTGGCTGCCTTTCTCATATTGTCTCTTGAAAAAGATAGTGGATTTTTTTAAAGACGAGAAAAACTGAATACCATCCCCAGCGGTTTTAAGTGGCCTTGGGAAGGAGGTGGTGAAGGAAGGGAGAAGCTCTATAAATGCTTGTTATTATTATTATTATAATTAATGTTAACTATAATAAATAGCCTTGAGAATTCAGCAAATAAACTGTATTGAAGTTGGAGCATCATTACAGACACAGCAATGATCCACAAAAATTTAAGAATAATGTTTTTAATAGGTGTCTCTATACCAAATACTTAATCTCCAGACTACTTGGAATGAAAAGCCCAGCGAAAGAATTTAAAGCCATATGGAGAGAGGAAAAGTAACAACCAATCCCTGTCATTCAGTCTGCCCATAGAGGTATCCTTCAGATGCTATCAGGAAATCCATGGAAGACGACTTTATATCCCCAACTCTTATTCAGTTACAAAAAGCAATCATTTTATCCACCTGTGCAACAACTCACAGAACATATAAAATTTTACCAAAATAATTATTCACAGACTGTTTCTATAAAAAAAAAAGAGGTTTTCTTGGCAAAGATACTGAAGTGGTTGGCCATTTCCTTCTCCAGCTCATTTTTACAGATGAGAAAACTGAGGCAAACAGGGTTAAGTGACTTGCCCAGGGTCACATGGCTAGTAAGTACCTGAGGCTGGATTTGGTCTAGGGTCTTCCCGACTTCCTGACATTCTATCTACTTCACCACCTAGCTGCTCTTCTACTACTACTACTACTACTACTACTACTACTACTACTACTACTACTACTGCTACTGCTACTACTACTACTGCTGCTACTACTAATGCCTCTTTGGAGGCTCTCAAGGCAAATTAAGGATTCTTTAGTTTAGCCTTTCCACAGAGAGTAGAGGAACACTGGACAGAAATTCTTGGTGATTCTCAAAATTCTGATGTTGCTCCAAGCTTCCCTTTTCAAGCGCCTAGCCGTAACTGCCCTAGCAAAGGGTTGGGGAGATTTCACCTCCCTGGGAGAGATGGAGGGAGCTCATGAAAAAGGAATTGGGTACTTACAATCAGAACTAAAGTCATCCACTAAAATGATCTCCTGGATCAGGTTGGCAGGGGTGCGATTCAAAACACTAAAGAAGGGAGGAAGTAGAAGGGAAGGTCCTCATTAAGCATGGCAGCTCTGCCCAAGAGCTGAAGATCCTATTGTGATATCTAGGCCCAATTCTATTTTCAGCCTTTCTTTCTACTAGGCTCACCTGTCAAATCATTCTGTAACTGCTTTGCCTGCCATATGTGAACAGCTGAGATGCCATCCATCCCTTTGACACTTCTGAGTGGCTACCTTGACTTTTCCCTAACTAGCCTTCCTGCCAATAGGCAACAATGATCGTCATACAGCTGCCACATCCAGGCCCAGTCACCAAAACATCTACTACAAGTATACTAAATGAAGAAGAAAAAAAAAGGAAAAAAGAAAAGGAAAGAGAAAAAAGATTAAAAAAGGTTCAGACCTGTAACTGTTTTTCAAGAAGCAAGAGGATCTAACTGTCAGAAATCAATCAGGATAAAGTTTTTTTTTCTTTTTTATGGTCCCTCTTCCCTTTTTCCATCCCTTCTCCTCCAAGGCTTTAAACTTCTCTAACCTATATGTGAAGCATCATGAAGAATTCCTATCCTGTGAGGGATGGAAGGCTACCTGTCTTGGTTATCCTGACGATTGCCTAGGTATCTTGGTTGGAGCCCCAGCAAGGAAGCTTATTGGTTAAACTAGCAGGGTTTAACCTTTGTACCTGGGCCTGGTTTTTAAGAAGTTGATTCTCAGATCTAATTATCCAGTCCTAACTCTCTCCTGATCTTCAACTTACACCTTACATCTTTAACTGTTGATTGGACATCTCAAACTAGATGTCTTATAGTCATCTTTAATTCAACATGTTCAGAACTGAACTCGTTTTCTTTCCCCCCAAAACTTCCTCACATCATTGTTACTGATGAGGGCAGCACCATCTTCCTAGTAACCTAGGCATCATCCTCACTCTCTCTTAATCCCCATATCCAATCTGTTGCCAAGTCCTGTTGATTCTACCTTTGTAAAGACTCTCTTTCCCTTCTCTCCTCTGACATTGCCCTAACCCTTGTGCAGACACTCATGACCTTACATCTTGATAACTCCAATAGCCTGCTGATTGATCTGCCTATCACAAATTTTTCCTCTCTCTAATCCGACCTGCTGCTGTCAAATTGATCTTTCTAAAACTTAAATTGAGCTTCCTAATGTTTGACTACCTCCCTATTCAATAAACTCCAATGACTCCCTCTTGTCTCCAGGGTCAAATATACAATCTTCTGTTTGGCCTTGAATAATTTCCATAACCTGGCCCCTTCTTACTTTTCCATTCTTCTCATACCTTACTTCCCTGGACAGACATGATGATTCAGTGACGTTGGCCTCGTTGCACACGACACTCTATCTCTTGACTTCATGTCTTTTCAATGCCTGTCCCCCATGCCTGGAATATTCTCCTTCTCATCTCAGCCTTCTGGGTTCCCTGGCTTCCTTCAAGTCCCAGCTAAAGAAGCTTTTCCTGATCCCCTTCAATGCTAGTGCCTTCCCTCTGTTGATTTTTTCCAATGTATATATTACCTATTTATGTATTTCACATACACGTATACATATATTTTATTTGTACCTAGTTGATTGCATATTATCTTTCCCATAAAACTGTGAGCTCCTTGAGGCCAGGGACTGCTATTTACCTTTCTTTGAATCCTCATTGCTTGGCATAGTACCTGGTACATAGTAGGCACTTAATAAATACTTGTTAATATCCAGTGCTTAAAGATCTCCAAATGTTTTCCTCTGTGTTTGTGCATCTGTCTATCTCAATGTAACCGGAGCCTAGCCAATGAAACTCCAGCCCCCGAGCACATTCAGTGGGCTCTGCCTTTTGTTGGCCCATATGTAAGAGGCTAGGAAGCTTACTTCAGGAAAGTAATTTCAATATATAATAGAAGGGCCCTGCTTCCTATTCCCCTATTACACAAACTCATGATCTTACCCTTAGTACATTATCTCAACCCCTAGCATCCCCTCAGATCCTGACTCCTGCACATTTTACCCTGGTAACCTGACCTTGATCCTCACTTAATGTGTGGTCTTAACCTTTGACTGTGCCTTGACTCTTGAAAGGAAGGGTCTTACTCTTGCTATTTCAGGACACCTCTCACCCCACCCCCCACCCCAGCCCACATCTGGTCGTCTTCATGCTGTCTGGCTTTATCTCAACCTCCTCCTGACGCATCTAGTTTGCTGGAGGTCCTGAGCATTCTCAAGATTGTTTGTTTTTTGTTTTCTTTTGTGTGTGATGGGGGGAGGTTCCATCAGTATGGGACCATACAGGGAAAGTAGGTGGCAGTCTCTGTTCTCCAAGATCCCTACCTCTTCACTGTTCGCAGAAGGGTGGATCGGGCTTCATTGTGGAAAGTAATAACAATGCTGGTAGCTGGCAGGTCTGAGGCATAGTGCACAGATGTGCATCTGCAGAGGGAATAAATGGAAAGTGCAGAATAAAGTTTATGGGAATGAATCACACAGAAGTAGACATGTCAAATAAGGGAAGCTAGGCTGTAAACCTAGTGTATTTAGATGTACCACTCAGCACAAACAATGAAAGACAAACACATACACAGAGAGGGATTCATTCCTTTTTTCCTTCCTTCCTTCTTTCTTTCCTTCCTTCCTTTCTTCCTTCCTTCTTTTTTCTTCCTTCCTTCCTTCCTTCCTTCCTTCCTTCCTTCCTTCCTTCCTTCCTTCCTTCCTTCCTTCCTTCCTTCTTTCCTTCCTTCCTTCCTTCCTTCCTTCCTCCTTCCTTCCTTCCTTCCTTCCTTCTTCTCTCTCTCTCTCTCTCTCTCTCTCTCTCTCTCTCTCTCTCTCTCTCTCTCTCTCTCTCTCTCTCTCTCTCTCTCTCTCTCTCTCTCTTTCCCCTTCTCTCTCCAGACCCGCTAGAGTTGGAAGGACACAGCACAACCCTCTTCTTATTGCCATGGGATCTTTGACATGCTCTGTTTTCCCACCTGGCCCACTTGGCCCCTTCTGGTACATCCCTACCCCAAGGGCCACCATAATAATGCCAACCTCCATGAGAATATCTGATTGGCTTTGCCAATGGCAGCTCTGAGCTCAGCTGATCCTCCAGCATCAGCCTCCTTGTAACTAGGATTACAGGCATTCCTAACCACACCTAACCACAAAATGGGATTCCTTAAAAGGGCCAAGCATGGGGCAATAGGGTATACTTAATGACCCCCTATAGTCTTTCACTCTTTTCCATTAGACAATAAGCTCCTCCAGAGCAGGGATCATTCTTTTGCCTGTCTTTAAACAGCTTAACTTAGTGGCACAGTAAGTGTCATAGTAGACACTTAATAAATGCTTACTGACTGACTTTGTAAAACACTTACAAACAACAACAAAAAAAATCTTTATACCTTTTTTCTTATTTCTCTACCCTCATTGAGAGTTGGTGGTACAGGTAGGAGCTGTGAGTGGATACTTGCACATCTGCATCTCCTCCCCTTTACAAATTAACCATGGCCTTCTTTCTATCCTTGAGCACTATATTTGGTGTAATGGCTTAGGTTAGCAATTAGAGCTGAAATATGTTGTTTTAAAGTTTTCTCAGCACTTTATACATACATACATACATACATACATACATACATACATACATACATATATATACACACATATACACATATATATATATATACATATATATATATATTTTGTTTTTTCCTCATTTGAGTCTCATAACTACTGTTGAATAATTACTACAGGTAGCATTATCCCCATTCTATAGAGGAGAAAACCGAAGATCAGGTGAACTGACTTGCCCATGGTTACATAGCTAGTAAATCTGAACCCAGGCCCTCCTGGCTTCAGGCCCAGCACATCGCACTGCCTCCCAGTGTCAGAGTGAGTGAGATAGAGGGTACCACACACATCCTGAACATACTTCCCTCTAAGTTAGAAACACTGCTCTATCCTGCGTCCTACCCAGGAAGCTACAGTCCTGGACACTCCAAAAACCCCACCCTTCCTCATGCCCCTCCTCCCACTCACATTGTAGCCTACCTCTACTGACTCCAGTCCCAGGTTTTTATTCCTCCCTTACTGCCAAGGAGAACAAAAACAATTCAGTCTTTTCTGATCCTTATGGCAGTCTTTTTTTTTTCCCAGGAGCTGCATTTACTCTCTTATTAGGCCAATGAGACAACATTGATTACATTTTAATGGCCATTTTTATTACAATTGCTTTATGACTATTCCAAGTACTATTTTTTCATTACAGCATTTATTACAGTGACAGAAACATCATAACAATTTTTGAGCTCATTTTCTATCATGAAAAACAGCCTGAGCCAGGAAGGCAGGAGTGCCCCTCCAGCATGTTAGCCGCATAGGAGAAACCCTGAGTCACTTTAAAATAATTCTCCTCCACCTTCCCCTTCTCCTTTGCAGAGGTATATATGTGGTATATCCTACAGATGCAGGATATAATGTCAGGTTTTTCCTATGTATTGATCAGTTTTGCTGATTTTTTCTCTTCTTCCTTTTCTTTTTCTTTTTAAGATTCTTTTAGGAAAATTCTTTTATGACCCAGCTTTCTGAGTTATAAATTCGTTTGTTATAAGCAAAAGTTCTTAACCTTCTCTGTGTCATCAACCCCTTTTGGGCAGTCTAGTGAAACCTAAGGAATTCTCAGAAGAATGTTTTTTTTTTAAACTTAAAAAATTTTTTTTTACACAATTGAGGGTAAGTGACTTGCTCAGGGTCACAGAGCTAGCAAGTGTTAAATGTTTGGTCTGAGGCCGCATTTGAACTCAGATCCTCCTGACTTCAGTGCCACCTAGCTGCCCCAGAAGAATATTTTTAAATGCATAAAGTATAATATATAGGATTACAGAGGAAATCAATTATATTGTAATGTAATTATCAATATATTTTTAAAAACAAGTTCATGGATCCTGAGGTAAGAGCCCCTGGTTATGAGGAATGGCTCTCTGGAAGCGGGGAAAGGGGAGTGATATGGGAGGAAACTTGGGTAATAGAAAAATTAAAGCTATCAACAATATATTTTTAAAAATAATGCTCTTTGAAGGGATGAAGGATAATTAGAGGCAGTGAGGGGAAAACTTTGGATGTTTGTGTGGAGAGTTGCTTATGCCAAGAACACAACTCATGTATTGTGATGGAGTGTAAAAATTCAGTGTCTGTCTTCCTAACAACATTTTCCAAGCATCCTTCTACCAACTAGGGAGCAGATGTAAGAAGGAAGAAGTAGAGAAGGACAAATAATGGTTTGACAGAGGAGAAGCATTGTTCGGAGCTAAGACGCCAAAGTTTTAAGTCTACTGATCATCCTCACAGAGTTCACTCATCTCTCTCCACTATCTTCCTATCACCTGGTCTCCAATATGGGAAAATCCTGAAAGAGTGCCCTGTTGTCTTCCAAATTCCATCTGTGAAGGACCTAACCCTCCCTTTGGCATATCTCTTAGTCTTGTGTGGGCATAGAACTCCCCATATCAACTTCTCCCTTAATTTCTTTTGAGGACATTTTTTAGGATAGATGTTTATCCTGGAACCCTACACCTAGACACTTTCTCAATTCCCAACATCTTGGGGACCTGGCCAAATCTATCATAGTATTTTCCTTCACTCACTTGGGTTAAAACCTCCACTCTGCAATAAGTAGTTAACTTTGGGCAAATCACATAACTTCTCCAGGTCTCAGTTTCCTCACCTATAAAATGAAGAGTTTGTGCTAGGTTACTCAAAGGGCCCTTCCACCTTTAAATCTATGATCCTACCCAATCACACTGATTATCAACTAACAATTGAGTAAGGGTTAGAGCACAGGCAGCTAAGAACAAAATGAAGGTTAGGAAGAGCTCTGAGGGTATGGGGAAAATATTCAGGGCCATGGGGGAGGAAATGGAAATGGATAAAGTGGTTGTTGTTCGTTAGTTTCAGTTGTGTCTGACTCTTTGTCACCCCATTTGGGGTTTTCTTGGTAAGGATAATGAAGTGCTTTGCCATTTCCTTCTCCAGCTCATTTTACAGATGAGGAAACTGAGGCAAACAGGATTAAGTGACTTGCCCAGGGTCACACAGCTAGTAAGTATCTGAATTAGGATTTGAAATCAGGAAAATAAGTCTTCCTGACTTCAGGCCTGGCACTCTATCCCCTGCCTAATGTATTTACAGCTTTTCCCAGGACCAGGTTGTATCACACAAAAATCATCTCATTTGCCATTGGCTGCCAACTTTTGGCCAAGAGGAAACCCAGTCAAATAGGTAGCCAGGGATGATACCTGGTCCAATATACTCATTTCTATTAACTTGTCAGCAGGGTTCTGTTGCACAGTACACACATTCTGGTTTCCCTATGGGCTGTGTTCCAGGTTATAAGAAGAAATATAGGGCTGATTTGGTACCTGGCATTTCCCACCTTCCCCGGCCTGACTCTGAACTAACATAGTTCTGGTGATAATGGACGACCTCTATCCCCTTGGCCCCTTGCTCAGGTTGAATGGTTCAACTATGGGAAAAGAATAAAGTGAAATGGAAAGAGCATTGGATTGGAAAATAGGCGACCTGAGGCTACCTCTACTTCATCATGTGCCCTTAGTCAAATCACTTCACTCACCTGGGTCTTATCTTCCTCCTCTATAAAATGAGGTCGGGAAGTTGAATTCTGAGTAAATGAAAAACCAATGAAATTCCTGAAAGAGAGATAATGGAATATCTTCTCCTTCACAGCAGAGAGAACGGGAACTACTAGGGTGGAATGTTGCGTGTATGGACAGATAAGTTTTCTGTTTTAGATGTTTTTCTTTCGTCACCAAAAAGGGTTCAGTCGGGGGATGGGTGGAAAATAATTGTGATGTAAAGACAAAAGGCATCAAAAAATCTTTAAAAAATAAAGTGAACAAGTTGAAAGAAACAATCTTTAAGTTCTCTTTTAGTCCTAACATCCTATGGCATAACAGTATTTATCACAGAGAGTGGCCTGGTCTATAAAGTGGTTGCATTATATATTAATAAATAAAAGTCACTCAAGAAATTTTAATAAGGGCTTCTTAACAACTTAGTTAAAAGGGAGGGGGGAATGGAATTTTCTTAAAATAAGGGTTATAGAAAGAAAACTAAGTAAGCAGAGCCTTCCAGCCTTACCTAGACACTTGGGCTGGGCTTCCAGTCCTATCTCTCTCAGATGTCTTAATACTGATAATTGGTAGAATATACCATCGTCCCCAAACCACTCTTCCCAAATAGAAAATTAAGGGCCAAAAGCATAAGTGTGTAGGGTCACAGCTACCACCGTTGGTGGGGAAAAAGGAGGATCTGCTGATACCTGTAATGGCGAGTGTCCCGGATGGGGCGGTCACTGCTTATCTTGTCACTTTCCAGCTGATTGAAGGCATGCTGCCTGTAGGGATCCTCGCCGGCCTTTAACAGCTTGGAGGCCAGGTATGCTTTCTCATCAAAGCCTCTTGTAGGGATTTTGGTTACCTGAAAAGGAGATTGGGGAGGGGCAGGGGTAGATACATGGATATATATGGAGGAAATGATACCTGTCATGAGGCCCTATCATCAAGCCAGACCCAACCTCTAAGGGATAGAGATGGCGCACCACGTTGAAGCCAGAGAGAGAATCCGCGGGAGTAGTTCCTCTGGCATGGCATTCGTAGTAGTAGGTGCCTAGCACAGCGCTCGCCCCACACGTCTCACTTGATAAACATGTGATAGATTTGATCGATCAGCGGTTAAGGGTAAAGCATTGCCAAGGTGTGAACAAGGAGGAGCTCGTCCACATCTGAGCTACATCTGAGTACAAATGAAAGTTCATAGCCTTGGCCCTCAGGACAAGGAAGAGGTTGTACCTTCTCTTGCATTATCTTCTTGCTTCTGAAATGGTTCTTTGTCAAAGCTGTTGGGTTTTATAGCATGAAGTTTTATAAAATCAGTAAGGAATAGACAGGCTAGCACAGCTTTCCTACTCATTTTCTCACAACCCTACAGCAGTGCTTGAAGTGGGAGAAAAAATGGAAAGGGACATCTGGTCAATTGTGTCGGCTAAATGGTAATAGGATGGTTTCTAGTCCTCCAAAGGGGAAGCAGGACGATGTCCCACTTCACCCAGCTCCCCTCTCCCACCCTAACAATTCAAGAGTTTAGGAAGTTGTGAGTCATACTGGAGGAGATACACTCAACTTCCCTTCAATCTTCAGCTTCCCACAATCCCCACATTGGCATGCTTACACTTTAAATCTCACCTTCATGCAGGACTATACTGTCTCCAGTTTAATTCGGTAAGCATTAAGTGTCCGCTGGGAGAGGCAGATGATAAGGCCTTAGGGTCTGGATGGCTTGGGTTCAAGTCCTGGGTGATCATAGGCAATCCCACCCCCCACCCCCCAACATCCCCAGTGCCTCAGGTAATCCACTCAAGATTATAAATTACAAATCAACTGCTGACCTGCACAGTGGAGAGAATTTCCATACTTTGAGCTCCCTGCACTTATAAAATCATGTCTTAGCAAATATATAAATATATGTGGAAATAAACATATACACATGTGTATATATACACACGAATACCCAAGACACTGTGCTTGGTATCAGGGATATAAAAATTGAAAAGTGAAATAGTCCCTGTCTTCAAGGAACTTACATTCCTCTTCCAAAGTTTTCTACTTCTCCCACTCGCTTCTATCCCACACAAAATCCCCTTTCTCCTCATTATGATCTCTGGTTGCTTACTCCCTCCCTATTACTTCATTTCATACATCCCAGCTCTGCCATTGCTTGTTTCCATAGACAGTCTTGAACCCCTTGTCTGTCATTTTAATGATTCATCTGGTAGCAATCCAGAGCCCCCATCCCCCAGCCACTATTATCACCATCACCGCCACTATCATCCTTAGGCCTTTTGCCCTTCCTGATTTGCCAATCCTCATCCCTTTAGATTTTTGTGTTTCTTTCTTGTCTTCTTTTACTGACAGCCCTCCCCAACCCCTATTAATTCTAGGAGTTTTCCTCTGTTCATTATTTCTCATTTATCCAGTATATAGCTTGCTCTCTCTGTGTGTGTGTATATACATGTTGGCTCTTTCATGAGATTATAAACTTCTCGAGAGCAAGGACTATCTTTGCTTCTTTTTGTATCTCTAGCACGGCGACTGGCATATGGTAGACACTTAATAAATGCTTATTATAATTTATTATATTTTCCCAGTTAGTTAAGCAATAATGAAGAAAGTGATGAAATTTAGCTACTACAAATGTATGGTGCGAAATCTTAAGTTCTTCACTGCTGCTCAGCAATCATTATACTCTTCTCTTGTTAGCTTGTCATCTCGTTCTCCACAACAACTTTTCCAAATCATCCCTCTCTCCTTAAGGCAACAGCTCACTTCTATCCCCTTTACTTCTAGCAGATACCCTAGCCCTGTACTTCGCTGAAAAGACTGAGGCCACCTAACTCAAACCTGCTCTTCCAGACTCAGAGTTTCTGAACACCAATCAATCGATCAGCATTTATTAAGTGCCTACTATATGCCAGGGGACATGCTAAGCATCAATAACCATTCTGTCTTCCCTTCTTTCTCAAAGGAGGAAGTAATCCCTCACACCTTGCAAAAGGCTTAATCCTTTTACTTGTCCCCTCAAACCCTCCAGAAGCTTTCTTCAGCAGTCATCTCCTCAACTCATGCATCTGTTTTTCTTTCTACCAACTTTTCTCCATCTACCTGGACTCATGTTTTGTTCTTCCCAGTACTAAAGAATTCTTCCCTTAAATACATTTAGCTACCATCTTATCCTTTTCCTCCCCTGAATCACAAAACTTCTGGAAAAAATTTGTCTATACTTTCTCATGGGCAGCTAAGTGGCTCAATGGATAAAGTGCTGGGCCTGGAGTCAGGAAAACTCATCTTGCTGGTTCAAATCTGGTGTCAGATATTTAGTCACTGTGTGACCCTAAGCAAGTCACTTAACCTTGTTTACCTCAGTTTCCTCATCTGCAAAATGAGTTGAAGAAGGAAATGGCAGGCCATTCCAGTATCTTTGCCAAGAAAAGCCCAAATAGGGTCATGAAGAATTGGATACAACTGAAAAATGACACGACAACAACAAAAACACTTCCTCACTGCCCTTTCTGTCCCTGGTAATCTCCCCAAACTGATATTTAGTGACACCTTATTTGCTAAATCCACGGGCTTTTTCTGTGTCCTCATTCTCCCTGATTTTTCTGCAGCATTTGATAGCACTGGACACCCTCTCCTGGACTCTCTTCTCTTTTTGAATCAGAGACAGCACAACACTTTTAATTCTTTAAACATTCTTTCTCTATTCTCTTTGCTGGTTTCTCTTCTAAAACCCATAAGGTGGACAGTCTCTGGAATATCCCTTCTCTTCTCTCACTACTACTGTCTTCCTTGAGATTGGAGAACTACCACCTCTATGCAGACGAGTCCCAAATTTACATTTCTAGCACCAACCTCTGCTCCAAGCTCCCAGCCAACATCCCCATATGTCAATGAGACTTTTCTACATGGATGTACCACCAGTATCTCATACTCTAGGGGTTGGAAACAAAGCTTGTTGTTTTTCCTCATAAACAAATAAGCAGATACAAAATATATTCAGAGTAGATGGAAGGGATTCTGAAAGTGAAAGGAAAGCATTAGCAGCTGATGGAGGGGAGAACTGGAAAAGGCCTCCTGGAGTAGGTGGGATTTGTGCTGAGCCTTGAAAGAAATCAGAAAAACTAAGAGATGGAGGTGAGGAAGTAAAGCATTCCATGCAGGGAACAGCAAGGCAAAACATGGAGGTGGGAGATGGGGTATAATGTTCAAGGAACTGAAAAGGGGCCAATCTGCTGGAACACAGAATGTATCAAGTATAAGAAGTATAAGAAGACTAGAAAGTTGGAAACACCTTAAATGTTTAAAAAAAAAAAGAATTTATATTTGATTCTAGGGGTAACAGGGAGCCACTGAATTCCATTGAGCCAGGGAGGTGACATAGTCAGACCTATGACATAAATCACCTTTGACAACTCTTTAAGTGGAGAATAGATTAGAGTAAGTAGGAAGAGACCTGAGGCAGGGAGACCAATAAGAAAGGCATGATGAGGACCTGGACTAGGTGTGTGGCTATAAGAGTGGAGAGAAGGGAACATATATGAGAGATGGTATGACGTGATAGCAATTAGATTTAGCAATGAATTGGATATGTAGGGTGAGAGTGAGTGAGGAATAGAGGATGACACTGATGTTTGAGGCCTGGGTAAGTAGGATGCTGGTGCCTTTGATGCTAGAGAGGAAGTGGGGAAGAGTGGGGGGGGGTTTGAGGGGAAAGACGAGTTCTGTTTCGGACATGTTGAGTTTGAGATACCCAAAGGACATCCGATCTGTCAAAAAAGCATTTGGTGATATGGGAGTGGAGCTCAGGAGAGAGACTAGGGTTGAATATATAATAATAATAACACTACTGGCTACCATTTACATAGCAATTTAAAGTTTTCAAAGCACTTTACAAATATTATTTCATCTCATTCTCACAACAATCCTGTGAGGGAGATACTGTTATTATCCCCATTTTACAGATGAGGAAAGTGAAGCAGACAGAGCTAAATGATTGTCCAGGGTCACCAGCCAGTAAGTAAGGCAGTTCTGCTATAACACACATATGTATTTCCCAAAAGACCTCCTTCTGAGAAACTCAGTAATAAAAAAAAATCACATATCTTAAAGGGAAAAAATGGGATTGGGTCACAATGTTAAAAAAAAAAACTTCATAAATGACACATTTAAAAAGATAGGAACCTAATAAAAATGGTAGCATGGTTTTATACATGATAAATGCTTAAGAAATACATAACGACTACAATAAATAGCGACTTTAGGCTGTACCCAGGCTACAAGACCAAGTTGGATGGCTGCATCTCACCTTGAGGCCAGAGCCTCAAGAAGGGGGTAAGGGTGGGATGGTACAGACCAGCCCTTCTCACCTAACAGCTCCTACTGCACCAGAAGATGGACAGTAAATACGGACACTTTCCCTTTACAAAGACCTAAAGTTTGCCTGTGGAAGTGAGCATCTGAAGAGTTGCAGCTTGTGAATTATTGTGAAATGGTACAGTTTTCTATATTCTCTGTTCCTTGAAGAAATCTTGTAGAAGCAAACTCAAAATTTGACTTATATTCAAAATGTTCCCAAATACACAATCACATTGGAACAATTTGACATTTTTTGTAATAAACCGACTATAGCTAAGGCTGGATTTGAACTCGGGTCATTCTGACTCCTTATCCAATACTTGGACTCACTGCCGCATGTAGCTACCTTATAAGGAATCATCCTCTGGCTCATCCACAGGCTCTGATGAGCTCATCAGGTGAGATGGTATAGAAAGAAAGAAGATGGAGCCTTGGGGCATATCCAGGGTTAGTTGCTTGGCATTGGAAAGGATCCAGCAAAGGAGATTGGGAAGAACAAATCAAATA